GGCGGGCGCGTGTGCGTGCGTGTCCAAGATCCCGAGAGGAGAATGGAGGAGAAGGGATTGCAGCGTGACCATCCCCCCTGGGGAGTGATTTCTCACTTTCTGTCTCTGTCTCTCTCTGTCTTTCTGGCAAGTGCACGCGCCCTATAGCAAAGACCTCTCCAAAAAAAAAAAGATTCCTTCTAATGCTCTTCATGCTCATGTATTGGTTGTTGGAAAAGCCACACTGCATTTTTGCATGTCATGACTTGTCATGACTTTTTTTTGCATGTCAAACATGTCATGACTTTCCAGAAAACCTAATATATCCCTAATCAAATGAGCAGACTCCACTCCCTAGCACATCCTGAGTTCCTGCTGCCCTCTTAACAGGCTGCTCTGATAACAAAATGGTTCCTATACAGGATCCAGCTACAGGTCCCCTGCACCCCAGTCTGCAGGAAAGCCAGACTCTCTTCTCTGAGGGAGTCCTTTTGAGAAACAGACCTTTGAAATGCCTTTGATCTGATAGGATACTCAAAGGTGTTCCTTCTCTTGGTCTCTATCAGTTTCCACCCTCCTCATTCTGGTATTTGCATTCCATGTCAATTACTCTTTTGCAATCCCACGTTTCAGGACTGATTCAATCTTGGATCCCCTGAAATGACCCAGCAAAAAGCTGACAAGGTAAAGCTAAAATAAATCCCAGTGGGCCAGCCAAGTGGAGTGTTGGTTAAGGCAGCTGGATTCCACATGGCTCACTGCAAGTTTCTTTTTTTCTTTTTTTGTAGAGAGGCGTTTGCTCTAGGGTATGTGCACTCGCCACTGAGACAGAGAGAAACAGAGAGACAGAGAGCAAGAAATCACTCCCCAGAGGGATGGCCATGCTGTAATCCCTTCTCCTCTGTTCTCCTCTTTGGGTTTTGGGCATGCACATACACATGCCCGGTGTGAGTTTTAAGATGCCAGGTCCGGTACTTGAACTGTGGTTGACTATGTGGGTGTCCAGCAATGTAACCATTACTCCATCTGCTGATCCCCCAACTGCAAGTTTTTAGCCCTGTGCCAAGTGGCTTTGAAAATACACCAGGTGCATGTGCATGTGTGTCCCAAATCCCAAGAGAAGGACAGAGAAGGGACTGTAGCATGATCATCCCCCCTGGGAAGTGCTTTCTCTCTTTTTTCCTCTCTGTCTCTGGTCAGTGCGCACAACCTATAGCAATGCCCACTCCCCAAGTAAGTAAATGAATGAATGAATGAATGAATGAAGCCCAATATTTGCTTGTATCTCTATTGGGCTGCTAGTGACTGACTCCTAAGCAGGGCTGGCCATCAAAAATTTTGGAGCCCCAAGTCCTTAGGTCTTACAGGTTGACCACCAGTAATTTCCATAACTTACCACAGGCAGCAGGACACTGGCTTAAGGTGTGGTCAGAACTAGAGCAGAGGAACAGCCTGCAATGTTGTTAACAGCATCTTTGTTGTTGAAATATAAAATGGAATTTGAGGATAAAGCCTGAGCTACACTATGGAAGTTTATTTCAGATTTAGCTACCTCAGAGGAAAAAAGAAAAGGGCCTGCGTTTTCCAAACCACAAGCAATCAGCCCTTAGGCTAAGTACATTCACTGGAAAGAACAGCAGCAGTAGGCTTAGGAAGCAGCACTCCCTTCACCCTGCAATTACAACCCCGGTGACCTTAGCCAGCAACATATCTCACTTGAAATGAACAGCTCCACACATAGAAAAACAGCACAGTTTAAGCAGGACTCCCTGGTTTTAAGCTCCTGGTGCTTCGGATGGTTACAAATAGTAGAAGTTCTGGGTATACCAGCAAAGATTATGTTCAATTATAAGAATGAGGAATTTGTTTCAGGTCATGTGGCTGCTCACTGATTATCATAAGTTTGAACAGCCTGCAAAACTGCTACACGTGGAAACCTAATATTTATACTAGCAACTAGGGAAGGTTGTTATCTGTGAGGACTGAGGCCAGGAACTCAAGTATGTAAAGCCTGATGGAAAACAAAAATGAAAAATTCAGATTTAAAAACAACCTTTCATGAAGGACAGCAGACAGTAAAATGACTGTCTTCATGACAGTTGTCCCAAGAATAGGAGCTCTCCTTCCTTCCCCACTGTCCTGTAAGGGACTGAGTCGTCCCAGCCTGGTACTAACTCTACGTTCTTCCACAGATGGACTGACTTGCCCTCACACTCACACATCCCCCCATGCGTGGGCACATTGTCCCTAGAACAACTGGTGCAGAACCAGGCACGAAGCCCAACTGGCCCACTGAGATACAATCCTGGGGCCTTGGAGGTGGGGAACTCTTTGACAAAAAGAATCTCTTTTTCTACAGGGTTTGCCAGGTGGGCAAGATATCTAGAGCTACTGATGGCCATGTCTGCCACCATCTGAGGAGAACCCTCCTGAGAATAAGACTAAAATAAAACCAAGTGACACCATAAAATGGATTTTTAGTGACACCACGAGACTACCTGCACTAGTTAATCACATCTAACTTTTTATTTTATTTTAAAACCAAGTGACACTGTAAAATAGATTTTTCGTGACACCACGACACTACCTGCACTAGTTAATCACATCTGACTTTTTATTTTATTTTTATTTTTGTATTTTTCTTGAGAGATTTTTGCTATAGGGTGCATGCGCTCACCAGAGAAGACGGAGAGAGGCAGAGAGACAGAAAGTGAGAAATCACCTTTCAGGGGAGATGGCCTCTCTGCATTCCTGTCTCCTCCATTCTCCTCTTGGGATCTTGGACATGCATGTACACATGCCTGGTGTGAGTTTTAAGCCACCGGGTCTGAGACTCAAATGGCAGTCAACTACATGGGAGTCCAGTGACATAGCCATTATGCCATCTGCTGGTTCTCACATTAAACTTTCTAAATCCCAGATATTTCAACTTGTGTGACTCCATAACTTGCTCCCTTTTTTTCTTAGGTGATTTTGAGTTGAGTCTCTGCCACTTTAAGTCTTCTTATAGAGTTTATTTAATTCTCTGCCCGAAGCCCTAATGTATACATCCACTTAAAAATCACAACTTTTTTTTTTTTTTACCAGAAAGATGTTTATGTAGTATTTTAAAATGAAGGACATATGATTACATGATTTCATTCAAAAATGTATATATATGTGGGTATATAAATGCAAAAAGCAATATAGCTATCTTTTTTTTTCTTTCATGAGAGTGAGAGAGAAGCACTCTCAACAGGATTTCATGCCATGTTCCCCTCACCAGCCCCTCTAGCCACAATCAAAGACATATGTGCCCCATGTATACAGATGCATACACATGATCGTCCACAGATAATTTTCCATTTCTGTGTCTATAAATGTTTTGCTTATTTTTTTTTATTCCTGCCCTCCTGACCCCCAAAAATCACACATCTTGAAGCACTGGTAAATTAACTCTAAGGGAAAATTCAATTACTTCTGTCTGGATATTTAAGAAATGGAGTTCATTCAACTAACACTTGACAGAGATCAGTCTGTGTGGCCTTCGTAGTATGTAAATAATATGTCTAAGCCTACATGTCCATTTCCAGAATGTACACAACATCAATAAATGATCAATAAAAGTTAGCTATCACTATGACCAGCATTCTGCTAAGAAGAACTGTATGTATTGTCACTGGAAAGTCATGATGTGTTTTTCTGTGCAAAAATGCATCATGAGTTTTTTGATAGCCCAATACATTATTTCATTCACGCCTCAGAACAACCAAGGAAATGGCACTACTATCTCCATCTTACAGAAGAAGAAATAGAAGTTTGGGAGGTTAAATTACTTGTCCAAGGTCACAAAGCCACTGAACAGCTGAGTGTGAATTAAAGCCTGGATCTCTGATTCAGTCACTGCACTCTGAATCACTGGGAGCTACTGGAGATACCCTCTTGTGGCAACTATACTTCTTACTAATGAACATGGTCTCAAAAGCAATACAAGGAATATGTCCACATATTAGAAGTGCCCCAATCACTGATGTTTACCCAGCAAACACAGAGCAACCACACGTTATCAGTGCATAGTAATATTGGCACTTATCAGAAAGGAATGCTATCCATCTTTAGATTTTGGAGATGTCTAAATGGAGGTATGAAGGAAGATAAACCAAATACCTATGAAATTCCAGGCACTGCAATAGGTATTTAACTTTCATAATTTTTAGTAGAACTTTACTGTCATTTAACAGCCACCCATTTTACAGATAAACTAGTGTTTCTAAACTTATCTTCTTTCATATCTCACATTATCAGGCATGAAGTTAGGAGCTTACAAGTAGAGACATGTAAGGATGGTTATCGAAGACTAAAACAGGAGGCCTCTCTTAAATGAAGGAGCTCAGAGCCTAAAATTCTCTAAACATTGATTCAAAGAGGGGTCTGGCAAGCTCCAGTCAATGGCATATGTGGCCTGAAAAAAAAAAAACAACAACAACAACAACAAAAAAAAAAAAAACAAGAAAACCTTCACTAAGTGAAGGCCTGTGTGTGGGCTCATCCGCATGACCCATCCAGAGAAAAGAAACACATAATCTAAGGATTCCATCTGGGTCAGTACTATACATGCCAAAAAATGTCTCCAGACTCCCTGGATAGGGTGACAGTACCTGTTGAGAAGATGACTTCATCCCAGTCCATTACCATTACTTTGGCTCTCACGGAAGACATGTTGTGTCCCTCCACATTTTGTCTAATCCTTCCCCATTACTGCTTGCCTTTCCATCCTTGTCAGCAACTTGGGGAAAGATAAAGCCTTAGAGCCAAAACTAGGTGGTTTGGGCATTGCTGTAATTTGCAGCCACTGCAAAACCTGATAACTTGGTATTAAAAGATCACTGTGTCTCTAGTGCATTGATATTTTTGGCACCCAGTGGCTGTTAGGCATGGGGTTGACCAGATGGCCTGAGTCCATGTTAGGATAATCTTCCCTGATTAGAGCTTAAGATGTATAGGTCTCCCTCCAGTGTTCACTGTACCATGGCCACACTCACCTCTGCTTTTCTCTGCTTTTCCTCCTGCTCTCTCTGCTCCTTCTCCATGCCAACCAATTTGAGTTTCAGCTCAGATACTTCAGTCATCAGATCGAGCTTCTGGGTCTCAAGAGACGTACGACTTAGCAACTCCTGAAAGAAAAACATATCTCAAAGTTATAAACCACCATAGCAACAAGGATAGCTCTAGCTCATAAATAACACATAAGTTATATTTTAGACAATACATAGTTGAGACAATTGCATGTGGGCCACCAGTTTATCAGGGATGGGCCTGGGCTGATATCAGGTCACTAGGGAATAATGCCACCCTTCCCGTAACTGTTTGGAAGACAAGGTGAACTATGTTTCTCATAGAAACCAATATTAATAATTCCATGTAGAAAAAAATGAATGGACATGGTCAAAGAACCAAACTTTCCCATCTCTATTTTTTAAAGCGAAACAGCAGGTCCTCTCTACCAAAACAAACAAACCTAGATTAACAATATACATTTTTAAACCAAATTTCTAAATCATCTATGGCACTCAACAGATTCTCAACCCAGTCTTCCATAAATCTCTGTGTAAGACCCAGTACAACGAATCTACTTGAGAGTTGGAGCATACAGTAGATGTTCACTGAGAACTTACAGAATAATTATATAGGAATCATATTATGTGAGTTGGATCTTTCATGGGCTGTACCAACACTTAAAATTTGACCGCAGTGGGATATAAACAAGAGGACTGTTCTTTCCTAATTGTGGGGATATACCAGGGAGTTATTGGTCCAGTGGTAGACTACAGCCAGATACCTCAGGTCCTTGACAACAAAACACACTTAATAAGCATTAACAAGGTTAAAAAGAAATGTGACAGGCAAGACACTGATTAGGACTACTAGGAATTACAAACAACCTCAGAAATCAGGAGCACTTCCCAAAGTCCAGGCAACTTATTTTTCCATTGGTAAACGGCGACATTCAACGGAATGCAAAATCCTGGCACGTGGCAGACACCGGCTACACAGTTCCTCACAAGGAGAATCTACACAGCAACCAGGAGAACAACAGTCTAAAGGAGCGGATGGAGAAGACACCATATCCTGCCAGGTTTGAACACTATGTATCACCTTGGGCAACCCATTTCTAATACAAAAACAGCCATCTCAACATCCTAATTCAACAACTCTGTTTTTAAAGATTCAAAACTGTCCTCAGTTCATGAATCAAGTCACACAAGGCAGAGACCTTTGACTTGGAATGTAGATTTCCTAGGCCAAGGGCCCCCAGGGAAAGCAAGGTAACAGACTATCTATCTGCTCAGCTGAGGGGATGACTATCAAGAAGTCCAATAGCTCAGCACAATGAGCTCCCTGAGCACTGGCCAAAGAGCCTGGTTCTTCCTAGGCCAGGCTTGAGGCTGGCTTACAGAGTGGAGGTGACAGAGGAAGCAACACTGCAGTGCCAGAACTGTGGGTTATTTGGCCATGGTCAGACAGCTGAGTGTGACCAGTTTAACAGGGAGGACATAGATTTTCTGAGTGCTTCCTTTGTGCCAGACACCACTGGGTACTCTGACATACACCCTCTTAATAAACCTCCCAGTGATTTGGCAGTGGTTATTATCATCTCAATTTTACAGATGAGGAAACAGTCCTAGAGAGGGTAAGTACATCTTTTGGCCAGCCAAGGACACATGCTAAGCAGCAGTTTTCAAATCAAGGTCTGTTTGACTCCAGAACTCATTTCTTTCCACTGGATCACATTGTTTCTCTGGAAGATGTCTAAGAACTTTAAGCAATATAAAAAGATACATTCTGAAAAGAGGTTATCAACAAATATTCACTGAGCCCAGGAAATGTCTACTCAAATAGATAAACTCTCATTCTACACATTCTACCTGCCTGGGTCTAGGCCTCAGGCTGTGTAGCCATAATGGGCCTTAAGCAATTCCTCTCTGAGTGTAGAATCCATAGAACGGTGGGTTCCTTGGGTCCTGAGTACCTGAATATCTGAGGATGTACTCCTTCCTCTACCACCTACTCTCTCCCAAACCCTTGCCCCTTTCTTTATCTTCCTCTCTCTCCATCAACTCATTCTCTGTTTGTCGATCCTCTTATTATCTGCCTTGCTCTAAAAATGATTTAAGGCAGTTTGCAAAATATATATTTCAAGTTTAAAAATATATCATAAAAATTAAAGCCGCTGGACCAGCTGGTGGCATGGTGGTTAGGTGGCTGAACTCCACACAGCTGACTATATAGTTCAGACCCAGTGGCTTAAAAACGCACAGGGTGCATGTACGTGCATGCCCAAAGTCCGAGAAGAGAATGGAGGAGAAGGAACTGCGGCATGACCATTCCCTTTAGGGGTTGCTTTCGCTCTCACTTTCTCGCTCTCTCTCTCCAACAAGTATATGTACCCTATAGCAAACTTTAAAAAAGAAAAAAACTTAAAGTAGGTAGGAAAAAAAAGTTGAAGCCAGAATTATAGCAGATGGAAATCTTAGACCATGAAAGTCTATAAATGGATAGAGATGAACTATAATATATATTTTTAAATGATACTTCCAGCTGCCAATCCAAAGGGGAAAAGGAACCATTACACAAATCTAGGTCCATGAAGTAGTAACAATTACTTTAGAGTAATGAGATCGGAGGAAAAAATTCCTCCATAAAACATCATATACTTATTCAACAACTATGTATCTACATACCTACTACATGTCAATGCCTAGGAGTGGCAGTTAAAAACATAGCCTCTGGGCCAGCCCCTGGTGTGGTGGTTAAGGGGCTTGCATCTCAATGGCTCACTTCATGGTTTAAGTTCCTGATCCCAGCAGCTTGAGAAATATGCTGGGAATGTGTGCATGCATGCCCAAAATCTCGACAAGATGGAGAAATGGAGGAGAAGGAATTGCAGCTTGACTATTCCCCATGGCAGGTGATTTCCTGCTTTTCCCCTCTCCCTGACAAATGCAAACACACTCTGGCAAATTAAAACACATACATGCATGGATGAATGCACGCATGTGCACACACACACACACACACACACACAGCCTCTGTTGAGTACTTGAGTATCTTAAGATTCTAAGATAATACTCATGTAGTTTTGTCTACTGATAAGCATTCAAGATACTACTTTGGTGGGATTTAAAAAATCCTCAGAATGTTTCTTGAAAGCTAACAGTCTATCTCCTTCCACTACTGCCAAATCCCTCTAGTTGTTTTAACTACTAAGCTGTAGTTGGTCATACCAATGTTCCAGCTGATGAGGGTAATATTTTCACTGGCTCTAACAGCTCTTCCAATTGGTCATGCCAGTGTTCTAATTGGTCACACTAACATTCCAACTGGACATTCCAACTGGACACACTAAAGTCTTAATTAGGAACCAGAGGTTGATTAATTTCATATAGTTCAGTAATAAAACTTACTTCCCCTCTCCTGCAATATATCTATTAGTATGTGTTTCTAACTTTCATGATCACATGATCCCCTTGTCCTTGTCATTAATAGTCACTGTTCTATTAACAATACCTGAACTAAAAAATAAAAAATAAAATCAGCCTTCCACAAGCTCATCCTCATCCAAGTATGTTTTCCCATCCCTAGATCCAGCAAAATTCCTTGCCTCTATGATGTACTGTAATCTCTACAGTACATGTCTTCACTGCAATTAACTACCATACATCCTCAATTACTCCTACTTCCAACATAAACTGAATCTTAGCTTTTGCAATAGGTCACTTTCTTCCCAATTATCTCCAGAGGTGACCAACTCAACTTACAGAACACCTTTCTCCCTAGTTCAGCTCTGCCTCCCAGATCACTATTTGTCCTGCTAACCATCCAAATCTACTTCTCCTTCTAAGGCAGCACCATTCAGTTATAGCACATTCTCCCCAAAAGTCCAGCATCGAGACAGTCTCCCATTTTTTTTTTTGTGACTTTTGTCTTTTGAGCCATAGTTTTTTAACCTACTTTAGGCACGTTCCGTCTCCTGAGTAGCTTCAACATCCTTGTGAATGACTCTTCCATTCAGTATTCACTCTGCCTTCATGTTCTTTGACCTCAGCTCCAAGGGGCTCTCCTACTATGTTTCAGTTTCTCGGCAGCCTGACCACAGCATGGCCCTCATCTTTACCCAGAAAGCGTTTGCTCTGCTTCTGAAATCTTCAGTTCCAAAATTTTCTCCACTTGTCACAATCTTCTGACCTTTCGACTGTCTCACTGGCTCACTCAACCCTTCTTCTGTGGCCATTAGTTACTAAATAACTCCCAGTTTTCCTGGTGTATCAACTGCCTTTAACCAGAACTGGCTCCTTTTCTACCCTGTGTTTTGAGGTTAGTCATTCCTGTTGTACTCAAATCTAATACAGAAAATCCTTTATCCAGCTCATCCCAACCCCCAGACCTGACATGCATTTGTTTACCAGAGCCTTATCCATGCCAAACCTCACAGTTTTTAGAGTATGTTTTCACTCTCCATGGACTGAGAATTGCTAGTGAAAGTCACTTAATGAAACCAATTGGTTTCCATACACAATTACACTAATTACAGTTTATTTCCAATGCTGCCTGACAAAAGTTGTATTTATCTCTGGCTGATTCATTCAGGAATTGTTCCAAATCCTCCCTATTCTTCTACAGCCCTCAACCTTACCCTGCCCCTTCTCCTCCTCAAATTATCTCTCCTTGTTTTTCCTGAAAACATCAAAATCATCATTCAATAAAACATTCTGCCTCAGAGTCTCCCAGAATCATCTCTTATTCAGACCTCATAAATTCCTTTCTTGGAGAAATGAGTCTGTAGCTCCTTTCCAAATCGAATCGGCCACAAGTGCACATTGCTATCTTCCCAATTAGGTCTTTCGCCTTCAGGAACTAACTGTTCACTGACTCAGTAAGCTTCCCGGTCACACATTAAAAAAATAGACATCAAGGATACAATAATTTCAGAATTTATTCTGGAATTACCTCATCCAGCTGACCATCCATTTCTTTGTCTCCAGACTCTTCTTCACACAGCCTCACACACTTGATGGACCATCAGGATATCTTCCTGTTTGACCAGTAGCCTTTGGATTTGTTCCAAGGCCTGGTCCTATTTCGCTCTCTGGAACTCAGAATGACTAGGACTCAG